TAAGAAATTGCGACAATTATACATATTTTTATTTATTAATTTCAAATTGGTAAAAAGAAATCAATCGTCGACTATAACAAGTTGTCGGTCTAAATATTCCAAATAATCCAAACTTCGAAATAACACCTCATAAAGAAACATTTCTTATAACCAATTGATAAATATATTAAAATAAAAATGTTTCGATTATTGTTTTCTTTGGCTTACCTGTGATGAATCAAACACGAACAAAGCTCATGGTCTCGTCGTTGATCCAATCGTACTTCTCAACGAACGGATTAGGGACTTTGGACAAATCCGGATATTGATCAATCGAATCTTCCCAAACATTCTTACCATCAAGATCCTTAAGAACCTCCCAAACACAATTATTAGACTCAAATCCAGCTCCCATACTCATCATTAGTATCTTATGACCTTTCTTTAACCTATTCTTAGCTTCCATGTATCCAAGAACATACCATAAACCACCCGAAGACGTGTTCCCGAACCTATGAAGCGCCATTCTCGCTGGCTCGATGTCGAATTCCGTGAGCCCTAAGCTTTTTCCCACCCCTTCGATAATCGCTCTTCCTCCAGGGTGAATACAGAAATGTTCCAGCCCTGTTTTTAAGTTTAGACCTATTCCCGAGCTCGCGGTCTCTCCTTTCGGGGTGGTTCTTCGTTTAAACGCCCGAACTATCGCGTAGCGAACCAGTTCCTTGACGGGCAAGACTCTAGGGAGGAGAACTGCTAGGTTCTTGGTTAGGGCTCGAGCCGCGGCTTTTTTTAGATATTTGGTTAAGAGAAAGCCAGGATGACCTTCTTTGTCCTCTATTTGCATGCAACACGAGTAGGCCTCGTCGTCCGAACCCACGTGGGCTCGGACAACCGTAACTAGCTTCATCAAAGCCCGGTTCTTGAACCGAGCCGCATTGGTTAGCAAAACAGAGCTTCCTCCAGCACGGAAGAGACAATTTGAGAGCATCATTGACCTGTCTTTACCACAATACCAATGAGGACCCATTGTCTCGGTACTGATCACGAGTGCTACTTTGTTTTCGTGTGTTGCGAACATCCTTTGGACAATGTCTATCGATATAACACTCGCGCTACACCCGAGTCCCGAGAGGTTGAAAGATTTGATGTCTTCTCTCATCTTGTATCTGTTGATGACTCGTGAGGTTAGCGAAGGAGATGGAGCAAAGAGAGAGACGTTGACGATGAGAATGTCGATGTCTGAAGGAGAGAGAAAGCCTTTTGTCTTGAGGAAAATCTTGTCGATAGTGTCGAAGATGATCTCGTCCATCTCGGAGTGAGCGTCAAGGAGAGTAGGTGAGTCTTCTCTGCCTTCAAGGACGTTGATTGGACCGTAAGTTTCTTCTCCGATCCCTGAACTAGCCATTGTACGAAGGAGAAACCTGTACTCTTCAAGACCCAAGTTCTTGTTTCGTTGAACGACTTTAGCACAAGTCTCTGTGTCGAGTTTTCTCTCGTCTTTGCCCTTGTAACACTCGTAGTGAAGCATGTAGCAGTTTCTCTGGTTTCTTCTCTTGAGAAAAAACTTG